AGCCACTCTTCCCCTGGCAAAAAAAGCTCCCCAAACACATGCCCGGAGTAACACACACAGGCAGCCACTGCATAGAAAGGTTTTATCAAGTTTACAATTTAAAAAAAAGGATCAAAAAAATTTATATATATATATTTTTTTTACATGTACATTACACACAAAAGTTTTTCCAATTGGGATCTTCATCCAGGGGTTACTGAGCTGATTATATTAAAAAAAAAAGCAGCAGGAAAGCCTGGCTTATACAGCAACTGACAGGGAACAGCACAAACATGACACGGGAAAGGAGAAGGTAACGAGTCTGCTTTTATTTTGCAGGGGGGGAAGGAAATCAATCGACAGTATCTTGCTCATGAGGTGTTTGTTTTGTTTTTCTTTTAAAATTCTCTTTTCTCTGAAGTGGAGTTTCAGTGCTGAAACTCCTTTGGTCTGAAGGGAGTAACCCCCTGCACCCTGAGAGTATCCATCAAACATTGCCCTTCTGACCCCCGGCCTGGCTGGGTCCTCTGAGGGCACTTCCCACTTCTCCTCCCACCCTATTTTCTGCTCAGTAATAAACCCCTAAGATGCAAGTGGAATAATTACTCTTATAAATATATTTATATCATGTAGGAAAATAAGGCACTTCGGGAGGGTTACAACTCGTCTAATTCTATGACATTTTCTAATCAGGAAGAAAAATGGGTTAGTTTCTGAAATGAATTAAAATGAATGTTAATACAGGAATAAAAACCATCGGATCCATTTCCCACTTCAAGGCTTTGTTTAAAAAGGAGGAAAGCACAACAGGCCACCCCCCCACACACCCCACCCCCCTAAAATCCAACAACCATGAAACCTGACCTGGGGCAGCTGCATCTGCCCCACGTGAGGCCCTGCCAGCCAAGGAGCCCATCAAGGGCAGGTCCCTTCCAAAGAGGCACGTTAAATAAGTTCATGGACTGAAAAAAAAAAACAACAACCACAAAAACAACAAACCAACATTATATATATCTATCTATATAACTATATCCTTTCCCTGAAACGACATTCCACACAGTTTTCTTGGCCATCTGGGACCTTCAGGAGCCCCTTCCCTCGATCTGGTCTGGTGCTCTGGGTCTGATAAGGAGAGGAGAAAGCAGTGAAGGTCACCGACTGCGGATGAGGATCCAGGCTGAGCCCGGGGAGCCGGGACCAGGCTTTCCCTGGGAGCACGGGAAGGGGGGTGGAGGGGGGGAGAGGCTGCTGGGAGCAGCAGCCAAGCACTGCGGGTGAGGACACAGGGAGAATATTTAACCAGGAGCACGGTGCTGGGAAGGGGAAGGCAGCAGCAGCCTGTCCAAACTTGCACAACCCGAGCAAACAGCTTCCCAGGCCGAGCGAAATGGCTGCTCTGGCTCCGTGTCTCCCTACGGATACGGGTCGGGCTGGAATGGGAAAAAAGGGAGAAGATCCCAGCAGCCAGCTCTTGATTTTTGGCTTTGTGAAATGTTTTTGAGGTTCACCTGCCACGGGAACAGGGGAGGAAGGAGTAAAGCAACATGAAATGACAAAGGTGGCAGGGGAGCCCAGCGCAGGCTCTCGGCCCACACCAGTTTCAGCACAGCTGCTCTGCCTTCCTAAGGTTGTTTTTGGCACCTCTCCTCCTCCCCTACTGGTTTAAGAAATATTTCAGCTTACTTGGTGGCCCAGGGCTCTGTGATTTTGCAACGATCCTCAAAGGCAGCCACTCTGCACCAGTTGTTTCTCAGGGATCTCCACACCAGCCTCACCCCACTTGCTTGTTTGTTTGGGGTTTTTTGCAACTAAAGGAGATTTTTTTGAAAAGCAAAAAAACCCCAACAACAAACCGACCTGTCCCCAACCTTTCTGTTTTAAGATCCAGCAGTTTTGATTCTCAGGATGCCAGTTTGAAGGCAGAGGGTGGTTCCAGCAGGCTTGCAGGGACAAAGCAGTGTCCCTCCTGCTGCCAGAAAGGTCGGACTCCACCCAGATCACCCACATGTGGGGCAGCCTGTCCCCCAGGCATGGCCCTGCCTGCCAGAGGGTCACCAAGAATATGGCACTTCTCTCTATTTCACACGACAAGGAATACTCCTTCCCCTTCCCCACTGGGGGCTGAGGCTAGTTAAGGCAATTTAAAACTATCCCAGGTTTGGCATCTGCGAGCTCCTCCAGTTCCAGTGTGATAAGGCTGTCAGGCCAGGTTAGCTTGAAGGTCGCTCTTCCCAGGAACCTGTCTCCAAGAGGAGCCAGAGGAGGATGCTTGCAGACAGAGCAGAAAAACAAGAGGCAGTGATTCTCCTCTAAACCCCCCCCCTTCCCCAGCTTGCAGCAAGAATCAGTTTGCATTTCCAAGTCCCTCTGCTGCAGGCTGGCTGGCTGGCACCCCAAGGGTTTGCTCCCTCTTCCAGAACCTGGACCTGGTGCTGCTCAGATGTTCCCAGCCCATCGGGATGTCTCACCACCCTTCTGCATCCTGCCTAGCAGCTGATCTGCAGACAAAAAGCTGATGGTGTAGCAGGGCCAGGAAACCTTTCCTGATTGTGCTCAGGGGTTATGCTGGATCTCAGCTTGATCCGCACCCCAGAAAAGCTCATCCTCCAGGCCCTTATCTGCTCTGACAAAGATTAAAAATGCACACACACACACAAGGAATCAGGAAGAACTCCAATGGCACAAACTGAAGCCATCAATCAAACCCCAAGAAGGATTTGCAGCAACCTGGCAGCCTCGGGCTGGGCCTGGCGTTCCAGGTATCAGCAGCATCATTAAATGAGGCGAGCCAGAGAAGAGTGAACAGGCACAGGCTGGCAAAATACTTTACAACAGGGAAGGCAAAGAGGTTGGGAGAGTTTGGTCTTCACAGGACGTGCAGCTGGACCCACGATCTCCAAAAGGCTTTGGAATGGCTTTCTTGCATGACCTTGAGAGTCATGCCCAAATTAAAACACACATCTGTAGCATCGGGGTTATTTGTTTCCAGATTTCCAAGATATGCTTATATTCTATGTAAAGTAATATAAAATAGCAATAAAACCTAGATCAGCTAGTTCAAGTTCACCATTTTCTCCCCCTGCCAGTGCTGTGTCTGTAGTGAGCAGCCTGGGAATTCACAGGGCTAGTGAGAAGAAACGTTCTCTTAACATCAACTAATGAATTGTAATAACAATTACGAGAAACAACATAGGTCAGGTCTGATGTAACTGATGGGTTCACACACTAAACGTTTTTTAGGCACCCAAATTCCCCTCCTTCTGTGGAAGGGAGGAGAAAGCAAAGGTCACACCAGCATTTTTGCTACTCTGTGTAAAAATTATGGTCACTTTGCTAAGAAAAAGCACCTCTCCAAACTACTTGCAGCATTGCCCTCCAGAGGCAAACACCCACCAAAGTGTTCAGAGGACCCCTCCCCACCCCATCTTCCCCACTTCTGGGTTTTTTTTTCCTATTTTCTTTTTTAAAACACACTCTCAGCAGGATTTGGGAGAAATCAGCAGAGCTTCACCACAGCTCAGAGCTGACCACACAGCTGTGGCTCAGTGGTGGTTCTGGTCTCCCCAAAGCAGCAGGAAAGCCAAGCAACCGTTTTGCCCTGACTCTTGCACCTCTTGGTGTGAGTCCCCCTTGGCAAAGCAGGAGATTTGAGGAAGGTAAAGGCAACTTTTTAGAAGAATAATTTAAAAAAAGGCCCTCCTCACATTGCACCCAATGCACTCCCCTAAAGCCAGGAAGCACACCCCACACAGGGCAGTCTGGAAATAATAATACTGGGGGTCAGGAGGGGAAAGAATTGTGCACTGTTGCCAAAAAAACTGCTTATTTGACAGTGGGATGCAGCAGAGAACAGACATTTAAAGCCCATTTTCTTGCAGCACAACCAGTTTTTGCTGGAGAGGAAGAGCCATCAGATCAACTGTCTGCTGTTGCAGTGAGAAAACTAGCTGAAAATGTCCTTCATCTGAAAGGCCACACGGCCACAACAGGATCATCCATCTTTACTTTAAAAAAACATATCCCTCCAGGATGGAGGGCTCCTATGTGCTCTGCCTGGTGGCATTAAGGACCTGGAGGTTTAGCTCTCTTAAATAAGCAACTGTTACACCCCCTCCAACTATATCCCACCACCACATCCTCAGTGTCCACGAGGAGACCTTTTGGAAAGGCAGAGCACCAAGTCCTGCCAAAGCCAGAGGGGGAAAGGAGAGGGGAAGACGCGCTGCAGTTGTCTGCAAACCCTCGGCACACGGGGTGAACAAAGGAAGTGGTGGAAGGTTTGGCCACCCCGATTCTTGAAAGGTGATGTGAACCTCGGGAGAGAAGGGGGCAGGGGGAGAAGGGAGTTGGGATCGTGGTTAATCCGACCATTCGTCCTCGTCAAATTCCGAGGAGTCGTCCTCGGAGTCGCTGTACTCCACCGCGATGCGGCGCGACAAGATGGTGGCCACGTCGTTGCCCACCACGTCCCGCTTCTCCTGCTCCCGCTGCTCCTCCACCTTGCGGAGCTGGAAGCCTGTTTGGGATGAAGGTAACAGAAGGGATCATGCCAAGGCTTTGGTCACAGGGGAATGTCCAAAGAAGCCACCCCATTTGATATAATCCTCTGAGCACGGCAAGGCAGTGAGCACCGCGGGAGAGCGGTGATGGTGCAGTGACAGTCAAGACAGACTGGGTGGAATGACAGAAGGAATGGGAAGGGAATTGTTTCCATGCTCCTCTCTGGGGTTGCACCACTGCTCCACTCCCAAAATCTGGACCACACCGATTCCAGCCCTGCCACCTCCACAGGTATGAAACCACATGAGGTTGTCATCAGGGTGAGGCAGACAAGGAGGGGGCACAAAGGACAGGGCTGAAGCAGCCAGGCAGTCACACCACTGCTCTCGAGATGGCTCCCAAGTGGATTCCATGCTCCACTTGGATTCCATGGGGCTTTCCAGAGGCAGAGCAGACCAGAACACCTTACCTTGACGAATAGCTGAAAGCAGATCACTCCTGGCATCGCTAACCGCAGGCAGGGATGACTTGGGCTTGGAGGCAGAGGTATCTGAGGGGGGAGGAGGGGGTGGGGGACCATCCAGACCACCAGAGGACAGAGGTGGTGGGCCAGGGGGAG